GGATGTCTTTCAAATAAGTAATCCCTCAACAAACGCTCTCAGTGTATATATATATATATATATATATATATATGAATGATAGTGTATATATTGTAAATTCTAAATTATTGACATACTAATTGCTTATTTGGCTAGAATTATGGATTTGTAAAACAGTATATAGTGGCATATACTGTGAATTCTGACGTGTGCGCTAACGTGGTTTCTCCAATGCATCTGGCAGACGGTACTTCCTGTTCATAAATAGAGTATGAAAAAGCATCGAGGACAATTATATATGGATTTCATTCTCCTCCAGGGTCCAACAAGACCAAAACTCACGCCAATTTGCATGCTGCATAGTCATTATGAATGCCCCTTTATACAAATTCATTTAATCAAATCCCCTTGAATGAACAATTTCAATGCAAGAGAGATTCAAATCACATAATGGTAAAACTGATGAGAGTGAATACAAATGTCATAATGATACATGAAAAATTCATCTCAAAAGCGTGACCCAACTTAAACAACAAGCACCTTCAAGCAAAACTGTATCATGGGAAACTAAGTTGATGGTTGCCACCTCCTGATCCATTCCGTCAAAGTAGAAAGATTAGTCGAAATGTCTTGAATGCTATCACTCTTTAAGGGAAGAACGATATCTTGCGGGTAGCTCTCCTTTGCCTCCTCAAGCAGAGTTTGAAATATTTCACATTCAATATTGTTGGAGAGCTTTGACTCTGAATAACCTCTGCAACATTCCAAAAACACACAAACCCATAAACATAGGTTTTCATTTTTTGACTCTCAAGGAAGCGACACTTGAGAAAAAGCAGTGCTGAGAAAAATTACCTTCGAGTCAAGCGATCATACAAGACAGTGTTGTCAGTTTGGAGCACAACCACAAGATCAAACCATCTCTCAGGGAAGAAATCGCAACCATGGTAGTCCACTATGTTACCTCCTTCTTCCATTGTATCCTCAAGCTCATCGCATACCAGGTCTTCATTGATGATGTAACAGTCTAGCTCATCATCCCACCCATCATGGAGATTCTTGGCCTTCACCAAATCACCGACGTTGATGTGGTGGAGCTGTGTTGCCTCTGCTAAGGCGGACGATGTTGTTGTCTTCCCCGTTCCTGGTGTGCCCGTCACCAATATGTTTGGCCTCTTCCTCACCATGGCCCTCTAGTCTGCTTCAGGGCAGAGCCTGATGAAATTTAACTAGAACTCAACAACAAACCCACTTGTGAATAATAAAAAAAACTAAATTAAAAAGTGCAACAGTAAGAACTTAAACCCTAAACAAAACAAAAACTATGACAAATTGGAAACTAAATTCGGAAGCTCTTAACACACTGGTCTTATATGCAGCCGGGCCTGTATTGGGGTGAGCCAGAAGTAAACATTACCAAACCCAGAATAAGAAAAGATAAGTTAGCTGCATAGTTGCCTAATTCGCTCACCCCCTATGAATTTCGATCTGGATCGAGCGTACCCAATTGCGGTACGGTATCGACCTGGAACGAAAGATTTAACGACTCAGTTCCAGAGGCGAGAACAGTACCTGATAGACGACGTCGCTGCTACAGAACAGTACCTGACCGCCGACAGCAGATGAGCAATCTAGGGCATATGAGGGAGACTACAAGGGGAACGATGATATTGGGTTCGGAGAGGATTTTTTTGGACGAATGGATTCCAAGAGCCCAGCCCAGGCAAAAGGCCCCGGGCAAGAGCTGGCAAGGCCCAAGGCAAGATAGCCCGAGCTATTGTCTGAAGGTGCTGACGTCAGTAAAGAAAAAAAAATTTAAAAATCGAAACAATTTCTTAAACATTACCAAAAAATTCAAATTTTTTTTAAAAAAAATACATACCTAGAAAAATTTTATTTATTAATCTCATACATAAAATCTTATGTGAATAGTAATTGTTCTTGAGTTGCCATTGCAATAAGTAGAATAGCACCAAAAAAAAAAAATTGATAAGGCATATACTATTTATGTGAACAGTAACTGTCATTACTTGCCCTTGCTTTTTGTCATAGAAAATGAGTGGAAGTGCTCTAAGAGCATCTTCACATGAATAGTGATAGCCTTGCCTTTTTTGGTTCCACCCAAAAAGGCTAGGTCAAGAGCAAGAAAAAAAAAAAGAATATGCAACAAAATATAAACAATTTAGAAATGTAAGAAATAAAATGATTATGCAAGAAAAAAAATATATGGAAGAAAATATAAACAATTTACAAATGCAAGAAAAAAAAATTACAATTTACAAATATTGGAAGAAGAAGAGTTTGTATGAGGATTTGGTGTAGAAAGTGAATAAAATTGTTATGTATTTATAGGAAAAACATCCATAATTTTTTGGTATTCGATTTTTTTTTAAAATTTTTTGAATTTTTTTTGCTCGCTGACGTCAGCGCCTTCGGGCTGAAGCCAGGTCCTGATGTAGTTGTATCATCATCAAGGATCTCCAGGTCCTGATGTAGTTGTATGACGAGGATTAAGGAACTTTAGGTCCTAATCTTGCATAATGGTATTTTAATAAATGAAAGAGTATATCCATCATATGCGAGTGTCATCTAAGTAAATTGAGGTTACACCCTTAAAATTCATTTAAAATCATCTACAACCCTTCCTTTTATTTTTATTTATTTAAAATACGTAATTTTTTCAAATAATACCGATGACTAGGATCCAACTAAGCAGTCACCTAATATAACTCAAAATCTGATTTATTATATTTTTTGCATTCCAAAATTACCCATATTTATAATTTAAAGTGTTATGTGTGAGGTGTACTAAGCCTTGGTTCTTGAATGTATTTTTTTGATTTCCTCCCACCGAATTATCTTGCAATTCAATCCTCTTTATGCATCAGTTTTGATTATGAAGTTAATTTGCATAATGGTATTTTGATAAATGAAAGAGTATACCCATCATATGCAAGTGTTATCTAAGAAAATTGAGGAGAATTGATAAAAAAACAGCCAAAACTTGATCCTTAATTTCAAAAATGTCAGTTTTTGTAAAATATTTCAAATATAGCAAAAAAACTCACTTAAATAGAAAAAAATTCCCTCAAATTTAAAACCCGTATATACCTAAAAAATAAACCTTATTAAATAAAACTTTGGAATATTTTTAACCCACGTTTGTACAGAAGAACATAAGTTGAAATATATCATCCTATTTATTAATATTTTAATCAATTTAAATTTAGTCCCAATCCAAGCATCACCAAACATCGGTTAAGTGTTATTCAACTTAAGCCAATTCAAGCCAAGACAATTTATGAGAAAAGTTCATGCTAAGACAATCTTCCGTAACAAATGAGGCTGAAGGGATCAACTTGGCAAATGACTGAAAGACTTGTTGCCGGATCAATTATCCAAGTCTGTTCGAATGACACCATTATTTTATCTTCTCTGATGGATCAATTCGCTGAGTGTTTAGTTTCAAAATTTGCAGCCCATCCCACACGTCACATTGCCTTCTAAAAGCCACACAATTTGAGTGACAAAGTCAAAAGAATTTTCCACAGAAAAGAATTGATATGTAGGCCAAAGAAAAATCAAATCATGATATAAGTCAGTGTTCCCAACATTGTCCAATATAGGTAATATATGGTTTGTCCAATATAGGTATTTACAATTTTTATTTCCTAAACATATACCTATCAATCTTACTGGTCATTTAAGTTTAAAATTGACTAATATCGCACAAAACATACAAAGGAATAAATGCACAAGCAAATTTAGACCATATCACCAAGCTCCCTCTTGAATATTGGTACACTATTATAATAAATTGAAAATGACTGTAAAGAATTTGAGAGAGAAGAAGAAGAAGAAAAAAAAGCAGAAATACAAGGGTAAGCGTTGAATAGGTCTCATCAAGTCGTCCTCCAACTAGATTTTTCTCGATTCGAATCGGTAAGCAAAGGAGCACTGCTGAAAAAAGCACATTGAAAAATTAAACTCTACCGCCTCTTGTTTGGATGTGGTCATCAAATTCAAGCCAAGTCAAAACAAAAGAGATTGTTATTTATTTAGCAATAGTCAAATAATGAGTGAATTAAATGGCAAGATCTACAATGGTAGCTGGAATGGTGAAAGAAAAATTGCTTACTTGAGTTGAGCTTTTAGCAAAATGGCTGTTGAGTTTCTAGAGTTGGCTAGATGGTTGTTCAGTTTCTAGAGATGAAGAGTTGGTTGAAGTTTGGGAGTTGTAGGAACAGACCACAAATATATTTTTTGAAGGAATGCAAGGCCAAGAGTGGCCCACGTCCCTTGGTTGAAAAACGAAATGCTGAAGGCCAGCTTTGTGCCTGTTGGAGTGGCTTCGTACAATTCATAATGTAATATATATATATATATATATATATATATAATGTCATGTTTTAACTAAATTATGAATGCAATCCCAAACTTTCTATAAAAAAAAAAAAAAAGTGCCACCCATCTTCCATCCGTTCCTATAAAAAAATTAATTAGTTTTATTTATTTATTTTGGCTTGCAATTAATTGGTTTTTCATTTTCTCAAAACTTGCTACTGAATATTATATTAATATAATTGGACACAATTCAATAATGCCAAAATCAGATTTATTAAACCCTAACCAACATCACAATACCCTCTTCTCCTTTTTCCCCCCTTTCCTCTAGCCACATCACAAAACATCCCAGTTGATAGATAGTGGACGAAGTTAGGTTGTAAACAATATGTGATTTAGGTAGAGTTTGTTGCTATGGGTTTGGTCCTAAAAAATTCACAAAGGGAAGGGTATTAACTTTGCCGTCAAGGATCAAGCTGTTGTGCATGGAGAGGGAGACTGGATTTGGATGGTTAGACTAGTGATGGCAGAAATTCCCGTTTGGGCGGGTCTCCAGTGGGTCACTGACCCTAATGAGGAGAGATTTTCGGGGCAAAATGAGTATCGGGTACGGGAATTCCCAAACTTGAAAAATCCCTGATGGGTATGGGGCAGGGATGGTATTGGCCTCCTCGTCCCTGAACTCGACCTGAAAATATATATGTTTATATTTAAATAAATAAATAAATAAATAATTATAATATTTATGTTTAACCCTAAGTTAACTTCCATCTCCCTCCATCTCCTTATTCTTCCTAATTTTCTATGGGATTTCATATTGATGTGATTTTGAATAGTTGAATTAAACTTTATAGTTAATTTGGATGTGTTGAATGATAATTTAATATGAAACTTAATGTTAAAATGTATGATAAATATTTTTTATGCAAAAAAAAATCGAGGATTCAGGGAGGATATGGGGGATAGTCCTCCAACGTGGACGGGGACGAGGATTCCCCAAAACCTATTAAATAGGGATGGGTTTAGGGACTGGAGCGGGGATGGAGAGCGAAGACGGGGATGATATTGTTATACCCAGCCCCTACCCAACCCATTACCATCCCTAGTTTTTTTGTTGTTGTTGAGAAATTCTATGATTGCATTCATAATTCAGCCAAAAAAGCCACTAGCCACAAAAATGGCCATTACAATAACGGAGTGGTCTAATATCAAAATTAAGGTAATCTGGTGCGACTTCACTAACGATCAGGCAGGATCGAAGAAACTCTGGCATAGGCATTCCAACTAAGATTGCAAACTTAGAATAATAAAAAAGAGATAAAGCTTGAAAAAATCAAGCCATAACAATACAAATAAAACTCTCACAAAGGATAGATGAAAAACTCTCACAAAGGAGAGGTGAAAACTACATAGAGAACCCAAAGAGTCTCTGCAACTTATTCCAAACATAAAGAAATTGCAAAAAAGATGGTGGTGAAGATCCGATGCCGAAATGCAGGTGAAGATCCGACGCTGAGCCGCAGCCGCCTATAATGGTTGGATGAAAATCATAACAAAACTAAGACAAATAGGGAAGTTACCCACCCGTTATTAATAGTCTACCAATTATAGACCTCCCGTTGATAATAAAATTTACGATTTTTCCTTTGTTTCATGTTTGACCTCTTGAAAGGACAAAAATAATAAACAATTTCAAAAAATTTACTATTACGTTTTCCGAAAGTTCATATATTGCTTAAATACTAAGCAAGTTCAAAAGTTTTCGGTATGTATACTATCATCAGAGACGTAAAGGTTTTAATTTGGATACTATAACGTTAGTGCTAATTTTAGGAAAATGAAGAACCTTTGAAGATTAGCAGAAATTCTTTGTAATTGTCCTTGTTAAATACAAATTTTCGGATACAACAGTAAATAACTGCTCTTAATTCCTTGAATGACAACTCCTTACAATGACACTTTAAATTTGTAAAGAGGCAACATAAAAATCTTGTCATGAAAGTGAGGGTAAATTTCTAACATTAAACCCATAATTGATCATAAAAGATATTTTGTGATTCCATTAGGAATCCGAATCCCCGATTTTGATTTTATGTGCTAAAATTTGCTTGACTTTTGTCTTATACGGCAAAGAGACAGCTACGTTTATCCAACTCCCAAGTCAAGTCTTCGATGGATGTTCGAACCAAATAAAAAAAGAAAAAAAAAAGAAAAAAAGAAAAAAAGAAAAAAGAAACTCAAAACCACCACTCATTTCTTTCGGTCTTTGTCACAACAAAATTGTAGTACAAAACTTTCTTCCCAAAAATTCCTATTTCGTCTTCGTCGTACTACTCTCTGTTTCTCTTCCACCCAAGAACCAAAGCCCACCCTCCCAATTTATAACCACACCCATAAACAAAACCCACCCTCCCAATTTGTAAACACACTCACAAACAAACCTGTTAAGCCCAATGCCTCTCTCTCCCTTCCTCTCAAACCCACAAAAAAAACAAACAATAATGGCTCCTCCTCCTCTGCCTCGCCCACTTCTCCTCTGTTTTCTCATCCTCCTCTGCCTCACCATCCCCGCCTTAGCCCACAGTGGCCACCCCGACGAAAACGACAACGAACCCGCCACAGACAACATCGAACCCGCCACAGACCTTCGTTCAAAGCCTCTGATACTGGCCAAGATTTGGTGCCTGATTATAATCTTTGTTGCGACCTTCATACCTGGAGTTTCGCCTTGCTTTTTCAAGTGGTCTGAATGGTTCTTGGTTTTGGGTACGCAGTTTGCTGGGGGTGTGTTTCTGGGTACGGCTCTGATGCACTTTCTGAGTGATGCCGATGAGACTTTCAAGGACTTGACTAAAAAAGAGTACCCTTTTGCATTTATGTTGGCTTGTGGGGGGTTCTTGCTCACCATGCTTGCTGATTGTGTGATTTCGTATGTTTTGGAGAAGAACAAAGGTGGCGGGTCTGCTCCCGATCTTGAGCTGCAAGGTAAGTGGTTGGTTATTCAGATTTTTGTTCTGTGGAACTGAATTCTATTTGGTTGTTCACTGCGTGAATTTTGTTGAATATACAACTGTTTGATGCTACAATCGTCCTTGAGATTTGAAGTCGCGTACAACTTAACATTAACATAGTGGAAAGTGGAGGCTGGGTGCTATTAGACTTTAGAGCACCTCCACCCCAAAAGGTAAGGACAAGGCAAATGTAAGGCAAGGTTTGACGTGAATAGTGCAGCCTTGCCTTTTTTGATTCCATCCCAAAGGGCAAGGGCAAGGGCAAATACTATTCACTTTAATTTTTTTTTTTTTAATAAACCATTAATTTTGATAAGTTTTTCAGATAATATTTTCGTTTGCCATATGTCAATATTTATTATAAAATTCTCACATAAAAATTCAAATAACATTTTCGGATAAAATTTTCAAATTAAATTTTCGGATAAGATTTTCGGTTGCTACATGCCCATATTTATTATAAAATTCACATATCAGTCATCATACAATTGAAATACTCCCAGTCCTCATAGTCCGACACAATAGAGTACAAGGACAACTCAATCATTGGCGGAGGTGGTTCCACCGGATCATGACTTGGGGGAGTACTTTCCTTCGGAGGACGTAATAATGCAATTATTTCCGACACAAAATGCACTACTGGAACTGACTGCGGGCATTGTTCACTTGAGGAGCCATGTGTAATGGTTTTCCTCTTTTTTGTTTTCCATTGAATAATCTATTAACAAAAATGAAATTGGAAATGCAAGAAATATATAATAAAAAATGACATTAAATTGAATAAAATGGCAATTAATTTTTTTTATTTACCTCGTCGCCAAGATTTTGACCTCTTTTTGGCTTCGATGGAAGAGGCCATTTGTATTTTTTCAGAAATGAAATTTTGTAGTAGAAAATTTGGTATGGAAAGTGAAAAATATTGGAATGAGATGAATTTGTAAAAAGATTTGGTGTGGAAAGTGAATAATATTGGTAGGTATTTATAGAAATTTTTTTTGATATTTTTTTCAATTTTTTTAAGCAAAAAATTGGATAGCCGTTGGATTGGGCATGATTTTTTTATCGGAGGCTCCAAAAGAAGCCACTGGTTTGTAGCCGTTGGGCTATAACGGCGAGCAACATCCTAGTCCATTTTTGCCTGTGGGCTTGCCCGGGCTGGCCTTTCTGCGCTAGAGGTGGAATTGGGGCCTGGGGTGCCTGTTGCCATGGCAGGGCTGTAGCGCTACACTTGCTCTTAGACCAAATGCTCATTGGATTTGATGTGGGATTTCTTATTTCTGTTCTTTTACTTTTCTTTTGACAGCTTGGGTACATGTTAAAAGTATAAGGCTTTTTATCACAAATAGTCCCTGAGGTTGATGGAAGCTAATGGCAGAGACCATTTTGATGTGTGGAGGCTAACCTTAAGGACCATTAGTGTCACAAAAAAATGTTAGGGACGAAAGGTGATTATTTCGCAAATCTCAGGGACCATTTGTGATAAAAAGCCAAAGTATAAATTGGCTTTGTCTGGTGTATGTGTATTCTTTCTGATGAGAATTGTAATTGGGGTGGTTGTTTACCATGGCTAAGTTGTGACATTACATTAAGAAGCAAAACTGGGCGTAATTTTTAAGTTCTGTGACATTATAAAAAAAAGAAAAAAACATGTTTATCTGAATTTTTTGTCTCTGCTACCAAAAAGATGTAAAGGTTTTTATGGCAATCAATTTACACATTTCTTTGTCACAGGGAGTGCTGAGCAGGGAAAGCGTGGTCAAAATGGCAATGAGGTGAGACATATATAGTTCTCGAATTCTCAAATCTACTGGTGGTATCAGGATCTCCATATGTATAGGGCATTTACTTGGTGGTGGTTCTGAGACTAACTGGATACTTGTTTTTGTTTTCCCTGACAGAGCCAAGTGGCTGTTGCAAATGCTAGCTCACTTGGGGATAGCATCTTGTTGATTGTAGCATTGTGTTTCCACTCTGTCTTTGAGGGCATTGCAATTGGAGTCGCTAACACTAAAGCCGATGCTTGGAAAGCCTTATGGACAATTTCTTTGCACAAGGTATTTGCAGCCATTGCCATGGGCATAGCTCTCCTTCGAATGATGCCTAACCGTCCCTTCTTATCGTGTGCTGTCTATGCTTTTGCATTTGCTATATCAAGTCCTATCGGTGTGGCCATCGGAATCCTAATAGATGCGACAACCCAAGGAGCTGTGGCAGATTGGATATTCGCGATTTCAATGGGTATAGCATGTGGAGTGTTCATCTATGTAGCAGTAAACCATCTATTGGCGAAAGGTTATAAACCCAACAAAGCAGTTTCCATCGACAAACCCCATTACAAGTTTTTGGCAGTTTTGTTGGGTGTCGGGGTAATAGCTGTCGTGATGATTTGGGACACTTGAAGCCATGCCAAAGATTGTTCCTGCACGATTTGTTAGTGGAATACTGCATTTTGAAGCATAGATAGTAGCAAAGCAAGTGTGATAGATTATAGATACCTGATTTTTTTTTTGCCTAATGTTTTGCTATCGTAAGTTATTAGTTAAAGTTGTAGGGCTCTTAAAAGATCTCCAAGAATGCTTATTTGTAACATAGTCAAATTCTTACGCTGTTTACGCATCTTATATTTTCCTTGTATTATTACTTGTGAGGGTAATTTTTGTTTGTTTGTTTGTTCTTTTTTTTTTTGTTGTTGCCAAAAGAGGGAAGATTTTGTTGGTGTGAGCCTTGATTTCCTAGTGTGATTCACGTTACCTAATTAGAGTAGTTACCTAATTAGGATTCCTTGTAATTAGCTAATTACTTTTCCTTGTAGGAAAAGTCAACTTGTACTTGTATATATATATATATATATATCATCCTTATGAAGAAATATGAAATATAATTCACAATCATTCAATCCTGCATTTTAGTTTAAGTTGGTATCAGAGCTGGTTAACATCGGTCTCTCAAAACAAAACACAAAAAAATCCTAGCCTATAGGCAACATCTATCGTCGACATCAATAATATTTAAAAAAAAAAAAAAAAACAGCTGCCGCAAAATAGTGGACGACCCTTGTCAAACCTAGTGCAGCAAAAGACTTTTAAAACTGTAAATCCATTCAAACTTGTTCTTTGTCCTCCATGGTTTTCGAAGATATCCTAAACACCCCAAGCATTGCTGCCAAATCCATTGCTTCAGAGACCCACAAAACTCTTGACATGCTGCAACCAATTGTTGAAGTTCACAATGAAAATTAGGCTACCCCATTCACCATACGGTTGAATGGAAAGAACTATAGCACTTGGTTGAAGATGATGTTACTTTATGTGCCAGGCCAAGAAAAAAGAGGTTATTTGATAGGGAAGGTGGTTGAAGTGGAGGAGGACGCTCCGGGCTTTGATTCATGGTGTATTGAGGACTCCATTGTTAAAGGATGGTTGATAAAAACCATGGAAACATATTTGGTAGAATTATTCTTGGATCTACCAACCGCTAAAGATGTCTAGGAGAGTGCAGCCCAGATGTATTATGATGCATCTAATGAGTCGTAGATTTATGAATTAAGGTGTAAAGCAACACGTATTACTCAAGGGGATCATGATATTACTTCATACTTTGCTAAACTCAAGAGCGTTTGGTTGGAACTTAACTGTCGTCGTCCAATCAACATGAAGTGCCCTTATGATGTGAAGATTCGACATGATGAAATACATAAAGACTATTTATGATTTTCGCACGTCTAGATGATGAGTTTGATAAAATTCGAGGAGATTTGTTGAGGTTGAGTCAATTGCCCAAATTGGAGGAGTCGTTTGCTTTTGTTTGTAAAGAGGCCCAATGCCAAGAGACGATGCTCAAGAAGGATGGATTGAATCCTCTACTGTTATGGTTTCTAAAGCTTTTGCTGCTAGTTTTCCTTTTCCCGGTCCAACCTTTGAGGAAAATGAAAACATGCATTGCATTTACTGTAATAGGAACCATTATATAGAGGCCACTTATTTTCACAAGAATAGGCTCAGAAATGTTTCCTTGAAAGCCAGAAGCAACAAAAGGCTACGCATGTGAAGAAAAAAATGGCGAGAGTGGTGTAGCTACTTTAGCCACAATTGGCCAGCCTTCCATCGGCCTAGTCACTGACGCTACCTCGGGTTCGCTGACCTCATCCATAGCTGCTTCTTCCCTTGATGATTATTTTACTGTTCTCTCTCATTTATCCCTTCCAAAAATTGTTGACAATGAAGGTAATCAGGGTAAAGTATTGGTGCTTTTCGACTAGTGAGATACAAGTTGGATTATCGATTCTGGTTCTACTGATCATATGACCTATGATATCATAAATTTTTTTTCCATTCTATGACTGCTTCTACTTGTTAATGGAGAATCTAACTCAATCACTGGGGCTCTATTACTCATACTCCTACCCTCTCTTTACATAAAACTTTGCTTGTTCCTACTTTGTCTCATAATTTATTATATGTTGGGCAAGTTACTGAACAGTTAGATTGCTCTGTGCTCACGTTCTCCTCCTTTTGTTTGCTTCAAGATGTTCAAATTAGGGAGATCATTGGGCATGGTACTAAGAGAGGGGGCTTTACTATGAATGACATTGCACCATGTTGTGTTAATCTGGTTTGGGGCTTTCTTCAGGAAGAAGCATAAAAAGATTCGATTATGGCATCGGCGGTTGGGCCATGTTTCCTTTGGTTATTTGCTCTCTTTGATTCCATCTTTATTTAGTGGAGTAAAAATTTCTGATTTTAAGTGTGAGACTTGTATTCAAGCTCCACAAAACACTATATGGCCTCAAACAAGCACCTCGTGCTTGGTTCCATTGCATCAGTACCTTTATTTTCTCTATGGGTTTTTCACCGAGCCAAGCTGGCACTTCATTATTTGTTTTTCGACAAGCCTCCCATACAATATTTCTTCTTCTATATATCGGTGACATCGTGGTAATTGGCAGTGATTCCACCCATCCCAACAATTCATCTCTCTTTTAGGTGGCCACTTTGACATCAAAGACCTTGGTTCGCTAAGCTATTTCTTAGGTTTACAAGTTCTTCATAAGGATGGTACTCTCCACGTCAATCAACTCAAATATTCACAAGATCTTTTACATAAACTCGGATCTACCCTATTGGCTGCCAAGGTTCTCCTCTTTGTCTCTGATGGTGCTCTCATCTCCAACCCAACTGAGTATTGCAAGCTTGTTGGTAGTTTACAATGTCTCACTCTTACTTACTTGACATATCTTTTGCTGTCAACACCGTTGCTCAGTTTATGAATGCTTCTCGTACCTCTCACCTTGTTGCCACCAAATGGATACTTTGGTACATCAAGGGCACTATTGATCTCAGCCTCACCTTCACTCCCCAAACTGTCGCAGCTTGTCTCTCCGCCTACTCCAATGCTGATTGGGCTGGGTGCCCTGATTCTCATCGACCAACCACTGGCTATGTGATTACTCTTGGAACCAACCTCATCTCCTGGTGTTCCAAGAAACAACCCATTGTCTCGCGCTCTAGTACAATATCGGAATATCGTGCCCTCTCTCATGCTTGTGTCGAAATCACTTGGCTCTGCTCCCTTCTTCATGAATTGGGTGTTCATCTTCAGTTCCCGGTCCTACTCTATTGTGACAATCTTAGCACCACTTACATGGTTGCCAACCCAGTTTTCCATGCTTGCACACGTCACATTGAGTTGGACTACCACTTTGTCCATGAAAGTTTGCTTTGTTCCTTCCGTCGATCAACCTGTGGACCTGTTTACAAAGGCCCTTCACAAACCACGTCATCAACATGTGTGTTCCAAACTTGTGCATCCTGCGATGTCCAGTTTGCCCGTCGCTCGGGTGGTGGGGGATGCAGCTTTCCTTTCCTAGCACATATGGAAGTCAACTTCATAATCTCCTAGCAATTAGCTTTCCTGTTGTAAATCAGATGGTATTCATGTCTATATTATTTCCTACCTTAAGTAGACTTCCTATATTTGTATAAATAGGGACTTTGTGTAATTTGTTTAATACAAGGAAATATATTCTCTAAAGCATTCCTAAGTGCTAATCTGCTAACCGCACATGCTTGTGAACATTCTGCTTGTTCTTCAAAACGTATGCATTACTTATGTGTAATGGGACCAAAGTAGGCCATCACCTTGATATAAATTATTGGCCTAATCGTAGCGGCTTAAGCTCTTCGATATTCTTCACTTCTTAATTTGTTGGTAAGCAGGGTGATGCTACACCCATATGTTTCTTTTGCTTGTGAGTGAGGCTATTTTTTAAAATACATATATAGTTTCCTATTTTTATTTTAGTACATATTTTCAGTGGATTCTTCACTAACATATTAATAAATTTGGCACTTTTTTCTAAAAGGAAGGAGAAATTTGATATTGGATTCAAATTGCATTTGAGATGTTTTTGGATTTGCTCTAAGAGGCAAGCAACGACCTTATCACATCCTCATTTGCATTATCTTATTGTTCTTCAAGCAAGAAATAACATATCTTCCACAATTTCACTGTTGTACTTTTTTTGTTACCATTGGATGTGAAATGTGCGATTGCAAAGAACTTACATAGATCTTGTAGGAATCAGATGGTTCACAGATTGGAGATATATGGCCTCATTACATACATAAAAACTCTGTAACTGAAAAGTTTGCAAATACTATTGCTAATTTGTTTCATTTGTTGGATCAACCTTGATTTGTTTAGTCAAAAAAGAAGAGAGCATCTACAAAAGAATCTATCAACAAACAATACAGAGCAATCAAAGACCAGAGCTTGAAGATTTTAAAAGAAATTGAAAAATTGAAAGAG